AATTCACTTCACAACATCTATACTTTCATTGCATTCAAATATCATAATTTTCCATAGCTTTCTAGAGCCACTTGTGTGAAGGTTGAGTTGTTCTTGAGCGTACTTAGTTTACTCATAATCTACTCTATAAGAGAGTCTCGTTCTTGAGTGTACTTGTGTTCTTAGACACGTTGAGAGATAGCATCTCTCTCGGTTGATTCAAAGGAAGGTCTGTTTCCTTTGAAGGATTTGTTGAGGTTCGTGTGACTCGAACTCTCAAGTTGTAACGGTTTGTTAAGCACCCGTAAGCTTAACGAGTTAGTAGTGTAGCTCGAGAGAGTCTCTCGGGAGGCTGGATTAGCCACAAGTTGTGGTGAACCAGGGTAAAATTCGGTGTGCCTCTTACTCTTCTCTTTACTCTTCTTTTAAATTTTTAATTTCTGCAATTTCTACGATCAAACGCTATTCACCCCCCCTCTAGCGTTGGTCTTTTATTCTAACAGTAAATACTCCCTCCGTCTCTAAATATTCACAACATTTGCTTTTTCAGCGGTGTCAGGAACTTTTGTTTATTTCGACGTTTTCATTGATTATTTGATAAAATAAAATATTTGTGACACCTCTTATTTCGAAGAACTTTTCATGTAGTTTTCTTATATGTAAATTTTATTTTTTATTTCTTTACCAATATATAAATAAAATGAATTAAAAAAACTTGATATTTTGTCTCGAGAATACAAATGTGGCAAATAATTTGGGACGAAGGGAGTATATTTTTTTTAATAATTCACGAAAAAGCGTGTCATAGTTTGATCAAAAAAATCAAATTGTGGTAATTTTTAGTGATGGGGAGGGGTATAATAGGTACGGATGGAACTTTTAGATACGGTTCTAGTACGGCACGTCCACCTCAGCAAAATGAAATGGCAAAGAAAGCATTTTCCTAATTTACTTTACTCTTTGCATTGATGTTGAAATGACAGCAACAAAAATAAAACGAGACAACACATACATTCAATTCGCACATCTGGTTTTCATTCCTAAGCTAACACAATATTTTTAGGCATAAGTTGGGTCCAAACTCCAAACCTGTAAAAATTAAAATGTTCAAGAATGACCGTCAAATTTTCAAATTATGTGATGAATTTTTTTTTTGATGTTTAAATTTGTTTTATATGAAAAGATCCATGCACACTTAAATTATATGACAGATATGAACCCCGATATTATTTTAGTAAAATATACTCTCTTTGCGGTTTCATTTTGATTTTTATGAGAAATAAGGAGTGCATATTTGTAGTTTACTTTCTAATTTTGCCCCTAA